TTTATCATAATTAGTAAAGTTTTTTATGACCTATCTCAGACTTTGCATAATTTTTGAAATTATTTGAAGTTAAAGTCTAAGGTAAGATTTACAACCATGTTAATACTTCTTAAATTATTTGAAGTTATTTTTTGTCCTTTATTACTTTCACAATTCTAATCATTGAGCTAAGACTTTGCAAGTTATGTATTTATAAGTTGAACTAAGATAAGAATACATAAAAAAGAACTAAATTGAAAAATGACTAAAAAGTTTTTTATTTTCATTAAAGAATGCAGTATGTATAAGATCGAAACAAAAGTTACAAAAATAGATAAACAAAAAGATAAAAGAAAAACTATATCGAAACAAAAATTACAAAAAAGATAAAAGAAAAACTATCATTAGCTTTTTTTCTCAGGTTGCTTCAAGGTGTTGGTGTCTTAGTCTCACCAGTTTGGGCTTCTATCTCAAGCTTTCCACCTTGTTTGATCTTAGCCTAAAAAATAATGTTCATAGCAGCCTCAATCTCTAAGTCCTTATCATCTTGGACTTCTTCAGTCAGTGTTGCGACTTGCAAGGACCTCAGATTGTTTATGCTAATTATTAACAAGTCAATATCAACATAAAGAAACTTTACTTCCTTCAAAGCCAAATCAAAAGAGTTGAAGACTTAGTCAAAGTTGGTCTGCATGTTATATCACTCATCAAACTCAAGGAAGTTCTAAACAACCTATGGCTTAACCTATTTCGTAGCATAAAGCTTTTTACTTTAACCACTACCAAGCTTAGCTTGAGGTCAAATTGTTGCTGTAAGGACTCAGTTGTGGTTTTCTAGACTAACATGATCTCATGCCTTTAGCTTAAGTCTTCGACTTTTTTGTCTAGCTTTTCATTTGTTTTCTTATACTCAAAATTAGAAAGCTTAAGCTTTCTCACTACCTCGTTTAGGGAGTTAAGGTTTTAAGCATAGTTCTTAATGTCTTACTTGATCTTGAAAATAATGAACGAGAGTTTAGTAGTAGTGCATCAGGCCCTATTTCATATTTTGAGAGACGAAGAATGAGAGTTGTTCAAAAACTATATGCAAGAAATTGAGCTTAGTGATCAACAAAATAAAATAAATATTAACTTGTAAACTAAATTGAACTCAAAGATAGATAAACCTTTTTTAAACACGATGGCTCGAGTGATTTTTCTCATCACTTCGTGGTCTTTATAGGCATTGTCTAAGGAGTTAAACTTCATGGTAATGAAAACCTTCTCCGAAGAGGGCTAGAGCTCGATTATGGGCTCGAAGAAAAAAGACTCCACCTTTGGTCTTTTTAAAGACCTCAAAGCCAAGGTCTTCTACTTGAGCTTTTGGAATACGACCCATTTAACCTTTTTTATATACAGAAAAATAACCTTCTAGGTCATTATTAAGCTTAGACATTGAAAAAAATTCTTTTGGTAGGTCAAGCTATCACATAGAACCAACTCTTATTATAGTTTTTTTTTCACAATAAAAAATTCCCTAAACAAAGGAATAGAAAAAAAAAGACTTAATTCTATATAAAGAATAATAAATCTTACTATGTATCTAAAATAATTTGGGACAAGTTGAGTGGTAGTTAAATTATAAGATAAAGAAGCACAACAATAAAAAAATGTAAAAAAATTGAGGCCAACCACTATAGGTCTCAATACACCCAAATCCTCTCAAACTTTAAAAGAATAATAACCCTATCATCTAAGGTCAACAATATTATACTATTCCTCTCATTGAAAAAATCAAATTTGACTTTCACCGTAAAGACTTGATGAACAAAGCATAAATTAAAACAGTTTTTGAGATAAGCTCAACCCTTTAAACTGCTCATCACCTCTTTATAGGTTATATCTATAAGGTAAAGGGTATAGAAAGAGGTGAGTTCTTCATCATTGTCGTCGGCAATGTCTACCTCTTCTTTACCTTTCTCATTAGCTTGGCCAAACCCCTCGACATGATTAGAACTATAACTTTACTTAGCCTTAGAAACCTTATTACTAGACTACTTGACTTTTGAAGATTGAACAGGTTTTTGAACCTGAGCAAGAATTGGGATCTTTATTATGTGAGAGGAAAAAAAGATGAAGAGAAATTAGAAGACTCATCGGACTCAAAGGTCGAGCTAGAGCTAGACTTTAAACTTAGACTATTGGCAGGTTAAAAAAAAGAAAAAAGGTAAAAAAAGTTTGGATTATTTACAGAAGGAGCAGAAGAAGCAGAAAAAAAGTCGAATGAAGTAGCTATATTGACTAAGACTATAGGAACTAAAAAGTTTTAGAGCTAGGAATCAATTACGATTGAAGCTCGTCAATCTTATGATATTACTTTTTTCTTTTGCTCAAACGTTATCTTCAATTTATTTTTATCATTTGACAAACATTGGGTTTAACTAGTAGACATCTCGACGATAGTTTTTTCCTACAATAATAGAGGAGACTTCATTATCTAAAAGAAAAACCTCTTGGCTGAGCTAATTGCCCTTATATTTACCTTAAAATTGTTAGAAATGCTAGACTCAAAAGACATAATAAAAGAAAAAGAAATGTATTAAAGAGTTTTTGAGAAGAAGGTTAGATGAAATAAGGCCAAAAAATTTTAAGGTCTATAGAAATTGGTCAACTAGAAAGCTTATAAGTATAGGTAATGAGAAATTTGGACCCCAAAGAGCCTTTTGTATAACTAAAGTCCCTTATTAGATAAACACCCAAAATCAAGCCATGTCATTGTAACAATCACCAAAGAAGACTCTTCACATTCTCAGTCTTAATTCAAAATATTGCCAAAATTTCTTTCCTTAATAAATGCGAATTCAAATTCAAATGAATTTGTATAAGTAGCATGTCAGTTTTTTCGCTATGTAAAACTCACCATGCAAAATCTACCAATATCACATCGGCCATACATGTAATCTTACATTGGACTTGATATGACCCATTGTATAAAGTTCATAAGTATCATGTTGGCTATACATATAAGAAAACATCATGTATGTATACGCATTGTAAATGTGATGTCGACCATCTCACAAAAGCACATGTCAACTAGACTCAAACTCAAATCATGATATGACCTCATCCACATCGACATCACCTTATGATGAACTCAGAGAATTGAGGTTGAAATAGTTGTCAAAACACATCGTCTAAATAACCTCATGAAAGCTTGAAACCTACACTTAACTCACAACTTGATCTAAACAATAACAGATCAACCAATCTTATCCTCACTAGTTTGATACCTTAGACAACTTGATAGGCGGGCAAAATGTTAGGGGCATTTTTATGTCTAAAGAGTAAAGTAGACATTTCCTTCCATAGTACAAGTCAATTGGCAAGTAGAGACATTTTTGTCATTTTAGTCGAATTGAAAGGAGGTTCACGTAAGCTTGGCCACCTTAACAGCCTCCTAGCTAGTACCTTAAGGTGCTAACTTGCCATGCCTTAAGTAGACAATCAACTACTAACTCAACTTGGGCCTATAAGATCAGCCTTAATCTCCTATGCTAACCTTAGGTTGTCTAGGCCCATAATTCCCAATCACATAGGTATAAATAGTCACATCTAGGTATTTCTAATCCATCTAGCACTGTTAGCTTTTAAACTTTTATTTTCCTTCATTTTCCTAAATCAAACTCTAACTTGAACACCAAACACAAATGTAAAGACAATTTTTAACCTTTATCATTGATTGATCTCTCTTTTTTGTATTTTTAAGGTTTTACCTCCCACAAACAGCTTGGCACAAATAGAAATATACGATCTAAGTCCCAAAAACTGCTGCCAATGGTTTCTACTTTGGCATTTCCTTGCAAAAATTTGGTTAAGATCCAATTAAAATAGCCACCTTGATTTTGTATATATAAACCTAAATCATATTTGGACCCAGCCCGACTGGACATTAATTTTGATTGAAATTGTATTTTCCTAATACAGGTATACAATGAACTTTCATACCCTTTTAATTTATTCAATCTAGAAGACAAGTCATTATAACTTGTTCCATGTTTAGGCACAAAAGTGATGAACATGGTTTTACACGTGAAAAATTTTTGTTTTGTATGGTGGTGAATTTAAACTTTGTCAAGGATATCATAGCTTAGAAAGATATGTAATTAAATTCCATATCCTAAAGAATTAAACTCTAGCTTCTAAGTATATATATAAATATATATAAAAATTCTAGCCTTTGAATTTGATGTTTAACTTAAGTATTTAGGATTCAAATTTTGGTACTTTTAATTCATTCATTTATTTTCAGGCTACAATCTATTACGTATAAAAAAATTTTAATTTTTTTCACTTTCATTTGTTTTGTTCATAAACTTTTTAAATATTTTTGCAATTCATAATCGCTACATGTCAAGACTTTATAATTAGTACAATGGAATTTTTTTAAAAAAAATTCAAATTAAAAAAAAAGAATTAAAGTACCATCGAATTTTATATTTACGAAAATTTATTTTTTAAAAAATCATAAATTAATTAATTTTAAATTAATATAATTATTTATTTGGTTTACATTAATTAAATGTCTAATCAACAAAACTTTATTTTCATTTTATCTATTTAGTTATGTAAGCTTTTTCTCGTGTCCAAAGCAATGTTGGATTTAAAATCTCACGTCTTGTTTGAAAGAAGAAAAGGAAAAATCTTTTTATTTTTTTTTTAAATACTCCCTCATCTCATAAATATTCCCTTAATTTACCTTTCTTTGAACTTTTGCACATATTAATCATTTAATTGAGCCAGTTAAAAGCATATAGATTTGAAATGTTTTAGATTAAAGTTATAAGGTGGAACAAACAAGAACAACTAAATCCCGTGACATCAACTTCTTTGCAATGGACAATACCACGTGTTGCGCTGCATAAATCTACTTCCCTTATCTTGTCTGTGTCTGTCTGTAATGGAAACAGACCACCAACGCTAAGTTGTCGCTTTTCACGACTTTTTGACGTAAATCTTCGGGTGATAGTTACTTTATAATTTGGGGGAACGTTGGCCAAACAGCCCAGCCTAGGCCCTGCTAACATCCCAAGGTCATTATTAATCGAATCATTCACAAGCAAAGGCCAAAATTGGCCAAATTTCATCAAAAAAGATAATGGGTCTATTTGATGAAAGAACAGCCCATACTGAAGTTTACCATTTTTGTTTATAATCAAAACTAACAAATACTTGTATCAAAATCAAGTGTGATGAAATGGCTTAAGGATCCACTCCTAGGTTTGAATCAGTCATTAAAGGTTCATCAGGGTTGCTTGATGCTACAGGTTGGTGATAGGCAGGAACAGGCATTTTCAACGGGAGATTTGGCAGTGCCACGTCAAAATCAAGAACCTGAATTGCTTGCCTGATTGAGGGTCTGAGACTGCTATCAGGGTGAGCACACCACAGTCCAACAATCATTAGACACTCCATTTGTTTTTCATCAAACTCTGCATTCAGCCTCTTATCAACAGCTGAAATTAGGTTTCCACTTCCGTAAAGATGCCAAATCCACTCTACCAGACCCATTTGGGAATTTTCTTCTATAGGATCAACTGACTTTCTCCCTGCAGCAATTTCTAAGGCAACTATCCCGAAGCTGTACACATCCGATGCCTTACTTGCCCTGCCAGTTCTTATATATTCTGGGGCCATGTACCCAAATGTTCCTGCCAATTCTGTTGTCAAAGGACCTAGCTCATGGTCCATCAGCCGAGCTAATCCAAAGTCACCCAGCTTAACATTAAAACTAGAATCTAGCATTACATTGCTCGATTTGATATCACGGTGAACCACACATTGCTCCCACTCTTCATGAAGATATAGCAATGCAGAGGCCAAGCCCCGAGCTACTTTGTACCTACAGGGCCAATTGATAGAAGCCTTCTTGCCAAAGAGGTGGTAATCAAGGCTACCATTTGACATGAACTCATAGACAAGTAGAAACTCACCTCCATCATGGCACCAACCTATGAGTTGCACCAGATTCCGGTGTCTCAACCGACTGATGATCTTAATTTCAGTAATGTATTCCTTTTTCCCTTGTCTTGAGCCCTTTGAAATTTTCTTCACTGCAACTGCTGTATCTATATCATTGAAATAACCCTTGTAAACAGCACCAAATCCTCCTTTACCCAACTTTCTCTGGTTTGAGAAGTTGTTGGTAGCTACAACAAGATCTGCATAAGAAAACCTTCTTGGTCCTGCCCCCCTTTCAAGGTCGTCATTGATGGAAGTTAAGTTTGTTCTCTCCTCTCTTCCTTCTTTCATCTTCTTCCACCGCCAGAAAAGCCCAAATGATATGCTGACAACAGTCATTAAAATGCTCAGCAGAACTACTAGAACTACTATTAACTTGGTCCTTTTTGTATTCTTTCCCTTTGTTCTGTTTATTTCTAAACTTGAGCTGAATTCCCAAGATAGAAGTCGATGTCGCTCTGAAAGATGACTTGTAGCAGCTGAAATTCCAACATTTACCCACTCAGGTAAGATTTCCTTAAGATCAATATGATGGTAAAGACTGAAATTCCCTTGAGAAACACCAGTGTTTTTGTAATTCCATGTAACACTCAAATTCGTAGTAGTAGCATTGTAAGAAATCCATGCATCAGCAGTTTCTCCATCGTACAAACTAAAATTCCAAGGGGTGTACTTAGCTGAAGAAATTGAATTAGTGTTGATCCCAACATGCTGAACTGGAGGATCCCATTGAGGGTTGGGAAAGGTGTCAAACTCAACTAGAACAATCTGGTTCCGAGCTGAATCACTTGTTGTGGTGTTGAATAAGCCAAGAAATCCACCCGCAGAATTGGGTGGTATTCTAAATCCAACAGGAGCAAGAAAGAAAGCAAGCCCGGCTGCATACTTTAAACTAGGTTTCCCTAGGGTATCTATGATGAATGAGAAATGAGTGGTAAAATCGGTAACTCTGTTAGAACTGGAGTCCCAGATTGGCACATTCTCAGCGTAGGAAACTCGACCAACCCGACAAAGATAAGATACGCTGTTAAATTCAACAGCACCAACAGAAGGTCCCGCATCCCCTTCGTAGAGAATGTTGGTTGCTTCAGGGTCAAAACGGGGTATCTCAAAGTGAATTGAATTAACAAAAGGAAGAAGGAACAGGACGGCGAGGAACCAAGGTAAACTCCATAAACAGTAGAAATGGTTGGCCATGGCTAAAAGAGATACTCATTGATGGATATCTTGAACTTGATGAAACTTATATATATCAAGGCCAGTATTCGGTTTTTCCCTCTTTAACTATAAGCTTCAATTTCTGACTTTGCTTTGCTTGGAAAAAAAAATTCATTCCATTGAAATAAATGGCATGACCTTAAAAAATTGAAAATGCATACATGCAAACACTTAATTAAGTCAAGGTCGTCGTCTGGAGTGCAATGTGGAGTCAATGATGAAGAGCTAAGCAACCTAATTAGCAAAGTCATGGTCTTTGACCCATAAATCATGCAGAGAAATATTGTACGTCGCCGAATTGAGTAATCCTAGGCAACACATGCTTTGAAATCATGTTCATGTTTTTTTGTCCTTTACCTTTTTTAAATATATTTTATTTTTAAAAAATTAGAAAAATCTCTTTTTTTGTCCTCTTTTTTCTTTCCTTTCTCTCTCCTTCCTAATTCTCTGCCTCTCATCCCTCTTGCTTGGGTTGAATCGGGCTAAGTCCAGAACTAAAACAGCCTAGAAAGATCTGATCCAATCACAGCCACGTGTTGTAAGATTTGGCCAAGGCAGGGGATTAGAGGGGGAGAATCAGGAAGAAGAGAGAAAGGATAAAACGGAGGGGTAAAAGGAAAAAAAAAAGAGAAGGGAAAGAGGTTTTTTTTTTTAAATTAGTTTTAATTTTTTTAAAAATGTATTGTCAAATAAAAGGAAAAAAAGAAATTTTTAAAATTATTGTTATTTAAAAAAAATGTATTTTTATTACAAATGACATGTATTAATCACTTGTGTTTCACGTGGATTTTTTTTTTTTTTTTTGGAAATAAAGGAGTTATGTTACTAATGAAGTTGGTAATCAGAGCTAACAAGGCTTTGGATGTTTGAGGGGCATTCCCCTAACCACATCTCATCTGAAAAAAGAGCAAAAGGACTTCCCTCTGTTCCTGATGTATGCTAGAATATTTCTCACATCTGAAAGGTCTTCAGTTTCTAATCTGATCCCATTTATTACCTGCAATGCATCACCTTTAAGGAGGACGTTTTCTAGCCTCACATAAATTACCACCTCCATCGCTCTTACAGCAACTAGAGTTTCTACAGTACTCGGTTCTTTCACATGATCTACCTTAGCTGTAGCAGCCCCCAGAAACTTTCCACTATCATCCCTTACTATTACCCCGATACCACCCACATTTCCTGCAAAGTTAAAGGCCTTATCGAAGTTGACATTGATGTAGCCTAGAGGTGGTGGCTCCCACCCCACTTCAGTCGCAACACCTCTTTCCATCCAATTTTCGTTTGCCTGCCGAAAGTCCCGCAGGTAACATTTGGCAAACTACACCATCGTTTCTGGTGATCGACTTTCCTCTGATTTAACGGTCAGGTTCCTGCTGTACCACACTACCCAACTGAGTACCAGTCCAAGTTCCAAACTGTCTGCATCCACCTCCTCAACAACCTCGTCGAGCCATCCTTTGTCTTCAATATGACTTATATCTCTCAACTTTGCTGTTAGGTTAGCTAGACTCCATGCAGCTTTTACACTCTCACATTCCCGCACGGCATGGACTATTGTTTCTATCTGTTGGCTGCATCTTGGACGTCAATTCCTTTCTTCCGCAAAGTATTATAGGTTGGTAGGAATCCGTTGTTAAGCTGCCAGCCAAACATCTTGATCTTATTAGGAATCCTTGCTCTCCATAACTTCTTCCAAGTCTTGCTTTCCAGATCGGTTTGTGGTTCCTCTCCTAGCATCTGAGCCTTATTATGTATGCAATGAGCAGACACCATCATATGGTACGCACTCCGCATAGAGAATCTACCATTTTTTTCTAGACTCCAAATTAAAACATTTGGATGGCTGTTTGCATTCAATGGAATAGAGCAGATCAAATCAGCTTCTTCAACAGTGCATAATTAGCTCCCTTTTCCACCTTTTTTATTGAGTAGTAATCAAATCAGCTACCTTTGCTTCCTCTCCTATGAGACTTTGTGCTTGACTTTCTAGTATTATAAGCCTATTGTTAGGTAGCCACTTATCCTTCTAGATTCTTATCTGATTTCCATCCCCCACCCTCCTCGGTAATCCGGCCCGTAAATCCTTCTGAGCTAACCATATTCTCTTCCAAGTGAGAGATGGATTCTGACCCAGATTGACTTTCATGAAGTTATCATTTGGAAAATACTTGTCGCAGAGGACTTTGTTTACAAGGGAGTCTTTATTTCTAACCAGCTGCCACCCCTTGCTTTGCCAATAATGCCCGGTTGAAATATTCAAAGTTCCTGACCCCATGCCTCCTCCTGTTCTCGTACACATCCTCTCCCATCTCAACTAGTAAATGACCTTCCCATATTTTTGCACTCCACCAATAGTTGCTAATTAAGCTGTTGATTTCCTGATAAAAACCCTTTGAAAATAGAAAACAACTCATGCTATAAATTATATGTACAAATTATCTACTATTTTGTTGATATGATATGATGATTTAACATAAAAATACCCATAAAAATACCATGTTATCACTTGATTGGTCAATCAACACATCATCATTTTCTAAATTAATGATATTAATTTCAAGTATCACATTATTACGTCATTTGATAATATATATTAGACAAATTTTTTTTAAAATACATATATGACACTGAAAAATATATATTACAAAGACCAAATATAGCATTATTCCTTTAGGACGTACCACAAGCCTTACTGAATTATAGTTATAAATTTATAATTTAGCTAGTAGCCGGTGAAGATCTCCGGGGCACATTAATTTTTCATTATCATTGTTAGGAGTCTAGAACTCATCCAAAGAAAAATGAAAAGTCTGCTGTGAAGTTCCCAGGAAGTCGAGACATGGCAATGGAGGCAAGATACGTATTGTGTAGTTAAAAAAAACAAAAGGTGATTTTACTTTTGAGTGAGTTTCAACTTTCAACTTTTAATTCAAGGTTCATTTAAAATGAACGAAATTGATTTTAATGAGATTGAAAATAATTGTGATGATAAGATTAATATAAAAATAAAATTAAATATTTTAGTGATGAGATTAAAATTAGCAGTTAAATATATATTTGGATGCAGATACAATGATAATAGTGAGATAAAATGTAATAGGAAGAAAAAATAATCATTAAAGAGATTAGATTAAAATTTATATATAATAAAATTTATAATAAATATTTGATATTTTTTAAATTAATAAATAATTAAAAAGTATTAAAATTATTTTATATCAAATAATATTTTTATTAATAAATTGAAAATTAGTAAAATTATACTTATATCAAATAATATTTTTATTATTAGATATTGGATAATTAATGTATATATATTAATGTTATTTAAATTTTAAAATCTTGAATTTTTATTTAATAAATAATGAAATATTTTTTAGATTAAAAAATATATTATGACTAAAAAATGTTGAAATTGTTACGGTTTTAAAATTAGGGGTATTTTAAGAAATGCATTAAATTGAAGAGGATAAAATTATCAAATTTAGGGTCTAGTAGTCCATTCAATCCCTCTTCCGCCGGTGGAATTCAACCCTTTCAATGTAGGACAAATGACCTAATCGCATCATTTGTATCATATCCAAAAACTTATTGACAGTGAAATTAAAATGAAAAAAAAAAAAAAAAAAGCATTAACACACTGAACACTAAAATCCAAACAGGCTCTCAATGGCCAGTGAAATTAAAACTGCAGTAACGATGAAATTAATTATTATAGAGGTAAGATTGAATATTTTAATAGTAAGATTAAAATTAATGATAAAATATATATTTGAATGTAAAAATAATAACGATGAAATGAAGTGTAATGAAAATAAAAAATATCTATTAAGGACATTAAATTAAAATTTATATATAATAACTTTATAATATATATTTGATATTTTTAAATTAATAAATTATTAAAAATATAAAAATATTTTTAATATTAAATAATAATTTTATTCATAAAAAATAAAAAATAATTAAAATGAATACGACAAAAAATTATTTAATTATTAGTTAGTTTATTATATAATTATATAAATTTATTTATTTATATTAAATTAATAAATTTATTTAAAACATTTTAAATAGAAAAAAAGGAAATTAAAAAAAAAGTTAAGTGATAGCGATATATTTTAATTTACATTATAGTTTCGAGGATAAAAAGGAAAAAATGAATGAGAAAGTATGGTTATTTTCGGAAATGATCATTGCGATTGGGTTAAAAATTTCTCGTTGGACCTGTAAAGCTTCAGTCCAGTATTTGCTTTCAATGTGTTGGAAACACCTCAACTGCACTGAAGTTCTGTCATCCAAATGACAAATCCCGGCACAATTGGGTAAAAAAACATGCTAATCTCATCACACTCACACTTCGGTGGAATCCAAATCCACCCTAAGTGATGATTAACAAAACAATTTTTTTTTTTTAATTAACAAAGCTGGTAAGTGATGATAACATGATCAGCAATTCAGCACTACCCGCTAACTACTACAGCTAGATTTAAATAAAATATTTAAAAGAAGAGTTTAGTCTAAGTAAGTTGATATAATTATTTTAAAAATATGATATTTAATATATTTTCAGACTTAGTATTAGAGAAGATATTTTTATTTATTTATTTTTAGTTTCAGATTTGTAAAGTTTTTAATTCTTGTTCTTTTATGGGCTGGATTTTGGACTTCTTGGGCTTTTGTTTTCTTTTCCCCATTCTTCGTTTTTCCTTTTTTGTTCTTAAATAGCATTTAACAAAAGTTAGAGTAATTTTTAATTGTTTAAAATAACTATAAAGTATTCAATCAATTTTCAGAGGGATTAAGGGAAATCAATAATTATTAATCAATAATTTACTATATTTTTGTACCCAATTCATTCCCATGAGAGAATTTGGGTTATATCATCTTTAATTTGTTGACAAGTTTTTAATTAAGGTAATTAAATACTTAATATGTATTTGTAGAGTGCTTGGGTCTTTTACCTATCATAAGTGGATGGCATA